CCTGGGCAGAGCGCCCTTGGAGAGGCTGTCCTGGGTGAGAGTGGCTGGGGGGGGCTGGGCCGCGGACGTGGGGAGCGAGGCCTCGGTTCCCGCCTCTTAGTTGATGCTGGGGCACCCGTGGGTGTCAGCGTGCGGGTACCCGCGGCCTCCCAGCACCCCGGCTCCGCAGGGGGTGCTTCTCTTCCTTTTGCTGGAGGTGGCTGACAGAGGGAGGAGGGTTTGAGGCAGGGCCTGCATATCTGCTTCTGCCGAGATGCAGGAAGAGCTTTTAACGAAGGTGGTGTAATTTTTGGCCGTATTTTTTGGTTGGTTGGTTTCTTTCTTTGCTTGTTTGTTTTCCCCGGTCGTTCTGTTTAAGTACTATTTATCTTTTGCTAGTCAAGAAATAGCAGTTATCCCATTGTGGCTTGCACAGATTTATTATGGGTGTGATTAAGTCCTGTATAACTCTGCTTAGTCTGTTTATATTTGGCAATAGCTTAAAGAGTAATTTGCAGTTTAAAGATGAGTCTATATGTGCCTGAGATAAAATAACCTTACAAACAGTCCATTTGTTTGTGTCTACATTAAAGAAGATTCCGTTTACAGTTTCCTGTTTAGGAATTTTATTTTTTAAATCACTAACTAAAGGCAATAGCTGCAATAAGAAGTCGTGGTGTTTGCTTTGCCTTCCACTGAATAAAGTAATTGATGACTTGTTATACTTAGGTTCACCATCGATTATGTCTCTTCAGATTTGAGTAACTTGCAGATTCTTACCTCTACCCTTCAGGGTCATAAGAATAAAAGACTGTACAGTGACTTGCATGTGTAGCCCCTGTTTTTGAAGGACAGCATCAGCATCTCCTAGTTTGAGAGACTCTCCTTCCTGGCTTCAGCCTCTTTGGGTAACTTTGCTTAAATCTGTTGAATTTCTAGGGCTCCAGCAATGATCTAGAGTATCCACAGGTCCTGTTCTCATGAGACTGTACAGCGTGAAACCAGTTGAAGAAATTCTGGAGGCTGCCCTTTTAATGACTGGGAGGTGTGGCAGAAACTCTTGTTGAGTTTCTCCTCTGGCACCCCAGTAGTTCCTCTGCCAAGAGGATGAGGCAGCCCAGACTCCTGCCTACAGTGATCTATAGTATCATCTTGCCAGCCTACCAACTGTCCTCAGGAGCTGGTGCAATGTCTTCTCTTTTTAGTTCTTAGTGACAACTAGATTGCTGTTATTGTTGAGCGAGTCCTGGTAAGTTGCATTATTGAGATTTGTGGCTGGAATCCATGTAGGATTAATTATCAGAGACACAATTAGCTAAGGATTTCTGTTTTGCTTATTAGTGTTGGTGAACCATTACTTTTTTCCAGTGTCCAGTCAGTAACTTGCAGTTGTCAGTATTCTATATTAGGTATGTTTTTGTTTTGTTTACCTTTATAAGGATCCTGAGCAGCTGACTCTTTATCTTTTTTATAGTTTTGGGGTTTTATTTAAATTCCTGTGGTTTCAGTGATGTCTAAAAGAGGTTGTAGTTTGAAGGCTTAAAGCGTGTTTGCTTGTTATATCATTATTCATGCCTTTTTCCTTTATTGTCAATTCCTTACAAGTTTGAATGAGGATCAGAAATATGATCTTTACTTAAATAATGCTTTCAGGAGCTTTAATTAAGTTGGCTTTGGCAGATGAACTCCCATTCATCTTTGTATTCTTCCTTTTGTGTGAACTGTTCTCAGCTGTCACAAAGATGCTGAGGTGTCTGCTGACAGTACTCTTAATCTTATAGTATTGAGCCTTCATCTTTTGAAGGACAGTGGAAAGACAAGGCTGACAGCTGAAGTCTTTGTGTAAACTTAGGGATTGCCTCGTATCTCTACCACCCACTCTCGATTCCAAATCCAAGGGGAAACAGACTGGGAGGTTGTTGTTTCCTTGAGACATCTACTGTTAGAGCAGCAAGTCTTGAATTCTTCTAATTAATTACAAGGTCAGTCTGGCTCTTAAGAAGTACAAAGAGGTCAGTGCAGATGAGAAAGCTTGTTTAAAGCAGGTTCCCAGCCTGGTCCAGCTCAGATGGAAACAGGCTTAGTTCTGTAACAGTGCTGAAGTTCATGATGGGAATACTGTGCTCGTAAGTGTGAGAAATATAATCTATTTTTTAATATAGCTGAGAGCAGGAATACTTGGGCATGTGTTGTGCCCTGACCACAGAGGAGGGGACTAACAAGCGGTTCTTTAGCTGATACCTTGGGGTGAATTAAGGTTAAATGACACCAAATGGTCAAACTTAATAACAGTTTATTGATTACACCTTTGAATCACCCGAGGAGTTAATTTTCTGGCAATAAAGCAAAGCAATTGCCCTTTGTGCCTGAGGTTACTAAAAGGAAAGGAGAGAAAGGGAGAAAGAAAGGAAAAGAAGTGGGAGAGAGAGTTTGCCACCCTGGAATCCAGTGATGTCCTGTGCAGTTGGGTCTTCCAAGAGTGGTGGCTGCATACACAGCAACGCAAAACCTGAGCATTTAAGCATATAAGTCTCCGCCCTGTCTTCTCTCATGTTATCATAGGGAGGAGTTGCCATTGTGGAAACGATCAG